GCAGGGGGCTTGGAACTGGATGATCTTTAAGGTCCCTTCCAACCCAAACCATTCCGTGAATCTATGATCTCTGACACATGTTTAACAAGTTTGGCATGTAGCAAAGCATACCTTACCAGTAGCATATGTTACAAGCACATTCAGTGGCATGACCTTCCCTTGCCTTTGGCAACTATATGGACAATAATGCACGACAATTTCTTGTCAGCTCAAAGCAGGGCTAAGTTCTTATTTGGGCTCAACTCCTAAGGTACCAAATCCTAAAGTGTAATATTCAGATTGCAAACGTCATTTGTTACATGCTCAAAAGACCACAAACACCACAGGTTTTGTTAGTAGAGCTGGCTAAACACCTTAGTACCACTACTGCCTATACCCATGTCAAACAAGACGTCAGCAGTTCTGAACACCTCACTGCCAATGTCTATTTAGGATACACAAACCTCATACTCTTTCCAGGTACCTCATCTGACCAACGAGCTCAAATATGTTTCCTTCATGGAGACTTTCCTACCTAAAACAACAGGCTTAGCTATCTTTACTTACCTAAAACAACCAGCACAGGACTCTTCTTTTCAAGACAGTTCTTGTTTCCAGGACTTTTTACTTTTTATTAGGTATTCTTGCACAAAGAACCTCTACAAACTGCTACTGCAGACAGGCAAAGTCAGATCTGACCATGTCTCCTATTACATTAAGTGCTGAAACTTTAGGGAAAATCAGTTGTGGTCTCCCCCGTCCCCAGCAGAAGGCTCATTAGGTACACTGGGACACTGGTGCCCTCTGGTAAGAGCAATTCTATTTCACTGGGCAAGAACCCAGTCTCCCTCTTGTTCCTGGCAGAATCTAGATGTGGGATTCAGCAATAACTTTAAGCAAGAACAGATGTGTCGGGGCACAGTAAAGTAAGTTTCCCTTTCCAGAGCAAGAGTAACAGAAGCATTTGTAACTAATATTTTTCCAGAGTTTGTTGAGGGGCGTTAAGCTAGCTGCTTGTCTGTCAGTCTCTCATAATTTTGCAGTTTACAGAAGCTATTCCTGTAATTTTTCTGAAAGAATTGTACTCTTGGCTTTTGTAAGATAAGAAAATATGTCAACCAAGTTGAAAAGAAACTTCAGTTATCAGAGCTATCCCACATATTTTGCAAAAAGAGGCCTTTCTGTAGAATGATCTTTGCAAAACCAACATCTAAAACTAACGGGGAACACAGAAATTAAAAATCTCTTTAGGACTGTAGTGAGGGATTTACTTTACTACATGTGTTTTCTAACCTTTTTTTTTTTATTATTTTCTGCTAGGAACTCTCAAGTATTTTCCTGTCAATGTTAGGAACATCTTAAAGAGTCAGGGATTATTTTTCAATGAAACAGAAGACAGACCATTTTTTAATCTGATGCAATAAATGTATTAATAACATGTGATCACCAAGAATGAAGATTGGGATCTAATAAAAATGGTATTGACATAAAACTAAAGTTTAAAGACTTAATTTGCCATAACAAGTTTCCGTACGCAATCTTGGAATAAAACGCAAGGTTTAACTAACTTTGTTTTCCACATTGCTGTCCATAATAAAGAATGAATCACTAACCCCCTCCCCACTCAGTATTAGCAACCACACAGGTATTTCCATGAAACTTTAATCCTAGTTCAGTACTAACCAAAACGTCCCTCGGAGATGCCCAAGCAGCTATGTAAGACAGATGTAGGACAGATTACCAAAGATACCTTGAAAAGAGGAATTGGTTTTCATCATGTGAAGGGAAGGAGTCCATTACAGGAATCGCAATTCCCATTACTAGAAAGAGCTTCCTGTAAGGCATGAGCCATACATAATTTAAGGAATTCCCCTGACTCTGAAGTAGGACTGCTTGTAGGAAAAAATCTGTACTTTATGAGATTTAGATCTGTCCTCACGAATAAGGAGATCTCTGTAAAAGAAGGTCCCTATATTAACCAGTCCATATGTGAACTCAGCCCACGTGTTAAGCAGTCTACAAAATTCCTGCATAAAATGAGTAACACAATGTCAAGAATTAAAATTAGTATAGCCGAGTAATTAGCACATACACTACCAAATTCTTTTCATGAGGTAGGGTTTTTTTAGTCTTATTCTTTACGAGTAAGCACTATCTGCCCTCTGCAAGAACTCATCAAGGATATTTGCAGAACATTCTGAAAACAAAAGCATTTAAAAAGAATGTTCTTCCTGATTTAAAGTGATGTGTCTGACTAATGAACAAGGTAATTGGGTTTATTTATCTAAACCAATCCTATCTTGCTCAATAATGGCAATGACATTGTTCACAATTGATTAGGACTCCCTTCCTAAAAATCATTATATAAGAAAAACTATCTAGAGAAAGTTATTTGCTATCTGTTCCATAAGCTTTCCCTCAGTTCAATACTGCACAGGCTTTTTTCAATTCATGTTTGGCTCCGAGTAACAAGGCAATCATTTTAACCAATATCCATTGGAATAACTTTCAAGACGACAAAGATTATTTGAAAAAAATAAAGTGTATACAGTGAATCTCCCTTTCTCAAATTAGATCCTCTTTTTAAATCACAGAGAAAGTAACATCAAAATGAAAGCAACTTCTACTTTTAATAGGGAAAATCCCTCTTATGCACAGGGTGATGATTTTTTTATTTATGTTCATTTCCGGAAAAATAATTTAATTTTAAAAGTGCTTTCAAAATACATTACTACTTTGAGCATTTTAATTTTTTTTTTTCAGATTTTTGTCAGAACAGTCTAGTAAAATAAGAATTCAGAGTGATGGACTGCTTGGATTGATAAAAAAAGAATAGTGAATGCAGACGTTGCCTTCCCTTGGGTCAAAATTCATATTAACTATTTTCTGGTTTTTGCTAAATGTACTTGAAATACTAAGTAGCATTGAAGATTTTTTTTCTAACTACTACATAATTTTGTTGAATCAAAAACCAGGATGTGGTGCATTTTCTTTTGATTTGTTGTTTGGTTACATTGTCAAAATGCCCGCTCCCCTCCCCCCCCACCCCGATACAAACAAATATTTTTGGTTTTAATCTGAAAATACTGACATTTCATTTAGTGACACTCCTTTAATATTATCATTGTTACCATTAATATATCTAAACAGCAGTATAATAGTTAAAACAGGAATTTCTGTTGTAGAACAGTATTGGAGATGGAAACATTTCACAGTGCCATTGAGTGCAGCATTTTTGATTATGCCAAGTTTGCTGGTTTTAACTAATGACAGCATCTTGTCTTCCAATATATTTACTGAAATATAGCTTTGATTGCCTAGTACTGTCATCATGGCATCTTCTAAAAGATATCAAGCATGAGCTGACACCATAATTTTAAGTTTAGGAGTAATCACATGTCCTTCCTCTTTAACACATTGATCCTTTGTCAATAGAAAGGAAATCGTCATACAAATGGGATCAAGCAACTTCACAAACAATAAAATCCTATTTGGTCCTTCAGGAAAATTAGACTTGGAACACAATTTGATACACCTGTCTTAACTGTTGGCCTGAATCATGGTGTATTCCTCTTAAACTGTTCTTCATTGAAGAGGATAATGAAATCATGTGATACGATCATGACAGCTCTGCCAAAAGAGACCAACCCAACCCACTTTTCCACCTACGGGCAAAATGTCTTACCAAAGTTACAAGTTGGCCGTATATCAAGATCCATAACTTAAACTCCATTTACATTCCTGCAAGCATTTTTTAACCCATCTATGCCTTTTTAACACATTGCTTGCTATTGAAAAGGGGGAAATTGGTAAAGGGTATATGTAGTTGAAGGACTCGGATGTAGATTGTGGCTGCAGTATTCAGTTTGCTCTATGTGGCAAGCACGGGAGCGTTGTGACAAATGTGTTGTGTACAATTTGCCTAGCTACTTGAAACCGTTCATTAAATATCTTCTCCTAATATATCTTAGTGTCAGGCTACAAATAAAATTGCAGCCCACATCAAAATAGTTTAAAAGAGTGTGATAGGAAGCAGGGCTGGGTTACACAGCAAGTGCTCTTCAGGACAGGACATCTCATGGTGTGACTGCAGAAGGAATTGCCCCTGTGCCTGAAATAGTGTGCATTAGAAGCAGTTAATGGAAAAGGGAATGCCAGTAAGTATTGGCAAATAGGACTGTAGCAGAGATCAAGAAGTCTCTTTTGCAAAGACAGAAAGAGGCTTTGACTGCCAGGAACACCCCTGCCAAATCAAGAGCAATTTCTTGTTTTGCTGTTCCTGCTCTATGCAAGCTACTTGTTTCCAGATCCTCTTCACAATGGGGAATGGAGACATAATGAAGCAGTAGGAAGTTGGCAGGGCACAGGTTGCTCTTTTATAAACAAAAAGAGCATGAAGAAAAAAAAAAAAGGCTATGGTCATTTCAGCAACCACATCTCACATAGACACATCACTGAAGCAACTGTTACCAAAGCGACCCAGCTGAATATAGCACCTCTTGTCAGTACTGTCCAGACATTATTTCTTCCTCATTGTAAAAGGTATCACCCTGCAGTTTTAGTAACGTGTCTTAGGACTCGGAGGTACTCTAACGAGAAACAAGAAAGACTAAAGATAGCAGAAGGGTAGGAACCAGAAGTCAGCTAGGGCAGGCAAACAGGTCAAACAGAAATGTTCTGCTTGCAGGTGGGAGAAGGACCAGAAAGAATGTCTTTTTTTGTTAGTTTTCCACCAACTTATACAAAAATAAAATAACTTTCTTTCAGCACATGGGCCTGTTTGTTCACAACTACAGCATTACGGACTTTTAAAATCTGTATACATCACCACTTTAGGTGTTTTGGAAAAACAAACAAACCCAAAAAAAACAACTTACCTGAAAGTCTTGATCATCAATTCCAAACCTCTCTCTTAGATTACGGAAAACCATTGGACAATATTCCTTAAATTTGAAATGACTTGGCATGTTTTCTCTGAAAGAATATAAAACCAAATCAACTTCATTCACCTGCATGTGCAGTAGGTAACTTGAGTATTCTGTCTCAATTCTGTTCATACAAAGCAGAGGATCAGGAGATTTACAATCTCTGTCCTAATGCTTTCTTTTTTTCAATGAGATTTGGTCTCACCATGTTATTTTCTTTGTCTTTACAGCATTTAATAAATTTACACATTATTTGTCTCCAATAAGCTACACATAACAGGATGAAATAAACACAGATGATATTTTAACAGATTTGTCACCTGGACTCAAAAGCAGAAAAGGATGATTTCCCATTGCCCTAAAATCACTTCAAAGGTGAAATCTTAGACTGGATTACACAAGAATTACTATATCTTCTGTGACAGTATAAAGTACTCACAGTGCCAAGGCTTCAAGAAAAAAAAAGGACTCATTCGGTACAGGGCTAATTTTAATATCCTAGTGTTAATTTCAGATTTAAAAGTTATTTTGACCTTTGCCACAGAAAAGATAACCCAAAGTAGCAGAATCCCTCCTTTTTCCAAATATATTTTTGAATAAAATTCAGGTTATACACAAAATACTAATAGTTTTGTATATCTGTACATACTGCCCATGAAGTATTTACTTTTAAGAGTTGTAGATAGTACATGAAATGATCTTAGTACTTTTCAAGTTTCTATACGATTGATATGATTTCCTGTTATGTGTTTTAAAAGCTGACTATTATTAATTTGATACATGCTTTACATTCTTATTGTTGCTCAAATATTTCATTTAATAAAAAGTACATGCATATGAATGCATGTTTTTAAAAATACACAAATAAATGCTTATATCAGTCACAAATAATCACATCAAGAAAGGATCACCTTCAGTATGTAAGATACTCATAAGGCAATAATAAACCATATGGAGGAAAAACACTACCCAGCAGCCCCTGCTATTGCTTTTCAGAAGAGCACAGATGGTTATGTTTATCACAGGATTAACTTAATCATCAAAACTTCAGTCCCATCAACTGCAAAATAACAGAATTCACAGTCCTTCATAAAAATACCACTGCCACTATCCACTTCTAAAAAGAATTGTTCCCTGTACTTACTTGTTGAAAAGGTGATTGTCCACCTTTATCTTTGAGTACGCTTTGAAATCATCTGGCATCAACATAACGGGGATTTGAACATGGCTCAGTTCATTGATCTAGAGAAAACAGAATATATTTAGTTGCTGTTTGCAAAGATGCTGCATGTGTTAATTACAAAAACGTTATTCATTCTAAATCTTGTCTATGCCTTGAGAGTGGATGTAAATAAAAGAAGAATGCAAAAACAGATTCATTCTTTCCAGATTAAATGCAATCACAAGATAGACACCTTGGAAAAGAAGAAAGAGCATTCCATATTTATACTAGCTTCAGAAAAAAAGTGCTTCAAAGCCCACCTGGAGTGTATTTTTATGTAAGGTCAATGAGGATGCCAGCAAAACGGTCTTTAATCCCAACACATTGTTCTTGTTTCAACTGAGCTACACTCTCCTAAGATAACTCATATTCTGTATTTCAAACAACTATTTACCTTCTGCTTATGAGCTAGTATTACATGCCTGTGTCTTGAGCTATATAGAAAACAATAAAATGAAATTTTGCTTACACTTGAATGCACACACTTTGGGCTCAATAAGCAGAGGCTTGTTCCTCGAATAGTGCAGACCTCAGCTGAGATTTTGTAAATTTCAGGCATTTTTTTTGACTCTTCAAATTGGACAAACTATTTAAATAACTAAATTTTAGCTTAGATATAGGTGCAGAAGTTCTATGGTTGTCCTTATTTTGTTGTATTTACGGGGACCATCCATTCTTTATAGTTTTGAAATAAATATTGTCAGTCTTCTCAAGATGATATATATTTGAAATCCACTTCTGGCCACATCTTTGTGATAAAATGCATACAACTTCACGATTACCTGGTTTGTAGGCATGTTTTTATTACTGCATGTAAAAATCTACCCTTCAGTAAATTTTAACTGTAACAAGATACACATACAATAGAGAATTGTGAGATTGTAACTGTACTTTCAAATTGTGAATGAGGTACCCATTACAACAACAGTCACCAAATACCCATGACATACATTTTACCTATGTTCCGGTGGTGCTCTACACGCTCGTCACGCATCTTGATTTACCTGGTCAAATATTTTTGCTCATGCAGAGCACATTTCGCATCAGCAGTTTTCTACAGGGTTTCGGAGGAAAACCCACTCCATATGAATACAAATGCACACTAGGGGTGGATATAAGAACACAGGGGTGATCCTCAGCTCTTAGCACTGCTTATCCCACATGGATTTTCAACTTGGTAGCTGTTAGTTGCCTGTAAATGCCATCCTGCTTGAGGGGCTTTTGGAGAAACCTTTTGGAGAAAAGCAGCTATAGGTTATAAATATGGGGGGGGGAAGCATCTGCTGCAAGTGTGACCTTTTGCAGAACCAAAGTTAAACAAAATAAGATAACAGTGAGGAGCCTTTTCGCTTTTAAACAGAAGAAAGCAACAAATGCAAGTAGGCAGGTCAGGTGACCTTTCAGTACCTTCAAGTCCTAGTAATATTCCCTGCCATGTCTCATTATTCAGATCACTGCAGCCCACACGAAAACTAAAAAAATCCGTTCAATTTACTTTACAGAATGCTTCTTCGGAAAGCCCTGAAAAGTTCTAGGGAAAGGCATGGCAGTTATATAGAAGAGCGGAGAAAGGAAACAAAGATGTTTTGGATGGGCTGAATGTGCTCTGCTCCCTGGAGTTGTAGGGAGAACATTCTTTCCTCCTTCTAAAGGGAGAGAAAGAAGAAACCCCAGTAAATTTTGAACACACAGCTGTACAAACCTAAGAAATCATGGTGACACCTCATTAAATAAGACTTAAAATAACAAAACATTGATCAAAAATCACTACCTCTAACATACATGCTCTTTACTACAGTTGATATCGCTGTGTATCAACCTCATCCTGAAACCACAGTTCAGGTTCATGAGTCTGCAGAAATAGTCTAGCTGTTGAACAAATACAACTAGAGACAAGTGGATATATTATGCAGAGATATGAAACTTGAGATTTGCTTATATGGAATTACCTCCTCTCTTAGGCTGCCAAGATCATACAACAAATTCAATGCTTGAGAAGTATGAGACCTACATGCATTTCCATCCTAGCTAAAAGTGATCCCAAGAATATCTTCTATTGAATGCTGCCAATAGTGCTGAGTTTACGCATCTTCAAATGACCCATCTACAATTTGCAAGCTTGCTTGAAAATTTGGATTTTAGATTATCAAAATTGCACTGATCAAAGGTTCACAGGCAATCACTTTCCTAATTTACTGATGTAAAGTTTCCCTGATTACACCTATGAAACTGCTTTCACACTGTGTATATTTAAATGTGTGCTATAATGGCACAGTTTTAATTGTGCCTGTAGGCCTTACAAATGTCATCTGCACAGAGGAATAACATAGCCAAATGTGCTTGTATTTGCATACTCCATAGATTCCTTTATTAAAAAAAAAAAAAAATATTGTCCCAGGAAGTTCCCTACAAGATGTGAATGTACACCACCACCTCCACCCCTCTCCCCCCATTTCTTCCCATCAAATCAGGCAAAAAGATGCAGGCTACAGATGATTTTGGTTTGGGTTGGTTTTGGCAGGGGCTGTGGTAGATGTGGGTTTGTGATTCATTCACGCCTGAGGTATGTAAAAGCAATTTCTCTAATATTTTAGGTTCTTCTCTAGATAGAAGGAGAGGAGGAAAAAAAAATTCAGGTGATGAACACAAAGTAGTAATGACCTTTGGTATAGCACAACAGCTGAGTAATGGCATGTCCCAGCAGCACAGGTCATTAATTAATTGAAACCTTTCAAGTGTAAGATCTGGTTCTTTGTGCAACAATACATTTTTAGGGTAGATTTAATGAGGCCAGATTGGAAAGTGCACACAAGACAGAAAGGAATACCCATGTCATTAGATCTTGGTAGAAACTGGAACCACATTGTGGATGGAAGGGAGAAGAAACAATATCCAAAACTCCCCCACAAACAGCTTCTGAAAAGCTAAAAAAAAAGGTCAGAGAGATCAATTCTCCACTTTGCCATCACCATGGAAAGAAACTGTCACATCTGAAAGACACAAAATATGGAACACAAAGAAGGTATTTTGAGCCTTCCAATTAATCTCAGATGAAAACTCTGCTTCTCATTCTCTGTTTGAAAGTCAAGCATGACACAAAATTCTGAGCAAGACACATATGATACCTTTGCCAAGTGTTATGTGCATCTCTCTGTGTTATCAGTTAAACACAGCTAGCTCCCTTAGCAATAGTAAACGGTGAGGATGAAAGTTCAGTACTCACAATTACAACAGAAACTGTGTTACAAGAGCTGTAATAACTACATCAGAAGTAAGAATAATCCATCTTCCTCCAAGGAGTGCTTCTGAATATAACAAAATCATAAGCAAGAAATAATTTCCCATAAGAGATATTCACAATGCATAAATGAAGCAGAAAGAGCTCACTGGACAGAGGACTGACTTGTTGCTGAAGAATCTGGATCGAACATTAAATTTAATTACAATTACTTCTAAAAGAACCCACATTTACAGCATCTTTACAATAAATGCATGTGCACCATACTAAAAGTTCTTTTAGTCCTGCAACCTACTATGCTTTAACTGCCCTGATTTGTTGTTGCCAATACACAGTTTTGCTGCAGCTTGTCTTATGTGAAACAGACAATGCTTACTATATCTTTGAGGAATTTAAATCCCATAATAGCCTCAGAGAATGGATTATTTTAAATTTGAATGGCTCAGATTTTAGTTGCACAGTAACCACACATATACAAATACCTCATGTCTATTAGTAACATTTGTAAACTCGTGCACACAAGATATTGGTAAGTGACCCAGAAATCTACCTTTAAGTAATTTATTCAAATACCTTCTGTGATACTGGTATAAAACCAGGTGGTTATGTGAGATGGAAACATCCCCCATGACTTGTGAGCTTTACTAAAAACAATTTAAAAAGCCTCAGAATGACATCACTCCTTTAAACACACAGTACAAAAAATCGTGGCTGTAGGTATCTGCTCAGAGCTGTGGCGCAGTCATGGCAGGCAGGAGGGGGCCAAAGCAAAAGGAGGCTTTCAGGCAAAAACCGACTGATTGCAACTCATTTTGCTCCTGCAGGTTTAGGATTGAATTCACACTGTCAGGAAAACAGAGGTTGTAATTAAACTGCAAATAAGGGAATAATAAAAGCCTACTGGACATTGAATAAATAGTAAGACTCAGCTGGTAATGATTCTGAAATTAGCACACAGAGAAGCATTCCCACAAATCCATCTTATAGTGGTGACATTTCAAATAAGCTTCTCTAATTTATATGATTTGAAATCAAGCAATGAATATATCATAAATTGTTAGGCATTATTAATGGCCCTTATTTAATTCAGATACATTCACCCTAAACACCACATTACTAGGGCAATGCATAATTAAACATTAGTTTTCATTCTGTCAGAACATAAGCAGAAATAAATTGCTTGTATGCAAAGCAGACAACGAGATATTTAAGCAGCATATAATAAAGGCAATTTACAGCATATATTGTGTGTTTAGCTAGAGGAGCCAGAACCACGATCCTGTTCTTCAACAGTGTGCTGGTTTTGGCTGGGATAGAGTTAATTATCTTTGTCATAGCTAGTGAGGGTCTACGCTTTGGATTTGTGCTGGAAACAGTGTTGATAATTCAGTGATGTTTTAGTTACTGCTAACATAGTGCTTATGCAGAGGTCAAGGCCTTTTCTGCTCACCCTCCCCACCAGCGAGTGGGCTGGAGGTGCACAAGAAGCTGGGAGGAGACACAGCAGGGACAGCCAACCCCAGCTGACCAAAGGGATATTCCATACCATATGGCATCATGCTCATCTTATAAACTGGAGGAAGAAGGAAGGGGGGCACATTCAGAGTCACAGTATTTCTCTTCCCAAGTAACTGTTACACATGATGTAGCCCTGCTTTCCTGGTGATGGCTGAACACCTGCCTGCCAGTGGGAAGTGGTGAGTATTAATTCCTTGCTTTGCTTGCATGTGCAGCTTTTGCTTTACCTATTAAACTGCCTTTCTTTCACCCAGGAGTTTTC